AAAAAAAAAAAGACACCTGACATTTGCAACAACATGGATGAACGTGGAGGGCATTATGCTAAGTGAAATAAGCCAGACACAGAAGGACAAATACTCCATGATACCACTTACAGGTGGAATCTGAAGTGTCAGACTCATAGAAGCAGAGAGGACTGTGATTGCCAGGGACTAGGAAGAGGGGGTCCCATTTCCCCCTCCTCCCAGTCAGAAAGTAAAAAAAAGTATAAAGTTTTAGCTATTCGTGAATAAGTCCTAGAAGTCTGCTCTGTATCATGATGCCTGTAGCTAACAATGCTACTTGTATACTTAAAATTACTACAAGAGATCTTACGTCGTGTTCTTATCACAAAATAATAATAATAATAATAATAATAATAATAATAATAATAGTTAAGAAATAACTTAAGAACTTCTTACACTTAAGAAGTCAGAAGGAAACTTCTGGAGGTGATGGATTGTCTACGGTACAGATTACGATGATAGTCCCATGGGTGTGTATTTACCTCGAAATACATCAAATTGTATATTTTAAATATGCTCAGCTCTTTGTATATCATTCATACCTCAATAAACAGGCTTAAGAAACAAAAAATGCATCTTAAAGAATAAAATATTAATCGGGGCGCCTGGGTGGTTCAGTCAGTTGAGCGTCTTGACTTCAGCTCAGGTCATGATCTCACCATTCATGGGTTCTAGCCCCGCATCAGGCTCTGTGCTGACAGTTCAGAGCCTGGAGCCTGCTTCGGATTCTGTGTCTCCCTCTCTCTCTGCCCCTCCCCCGTTCATGCTCTGTCTCTCTCTGTCTCAAAAATAAAAATTAAAAAAAATTTTGTTAAAGAATAAAATATCAATAAAATATTAATTAATTATAAAAATATACAATTTAATATTTTATGGGAAATAGTATAATCTAAATGATGTATACTAACACAAATGAAATCATGTATTTCCTTTCTGATGTGGCTGGAGATAATAATTTAACTTAGAACCAGAATCCTGAAGACAACTTAAATAAGGTTGTTTCTAGAAACCTCATGGCTAGTTTTCCAAGAAGAATAAACAACACTTAAGTTCCTAAGTATATTAAGTATTTGCAATGCCCACACATGGTATTCTTTCAAATTAACAGAAGCAAGGTTAATATTAGGTGCGTAGATGTTGGTTTTCCCAACAAGATTTTGTATTTACTAAATAAAGGAGCTATGCCTTATATCTTATAATTATTTTATCCACTACTGTGACTAGCACAGTAAACACTTACCAGACTAGACTGAAGACATACCACAAAAAATTACAGGTTATCAATAGTTTAAGAAGATTTCAATACCAGGTACATGATATAAAGTCTACATGCTAAGATATAGGAGGTCCAAGATGGGAGGGCGGGAAACTAAATATTCCTTAGAGAACAAAAAAAGAGTGAAGGATGTGTTGAGTTCTGACTAAGCTCTGGAACTTAGATAAACAGAGGAAACTGAAGAGAATATTCTTGATCTAAGGGGGACAATGTATGGAGAAAAAGTATGATTAAAGCACATTCAGAGGACAAACAAAAGAGGTGTATCTGGGGAGAAAAAGAGAGAGAAGATTTGTGTTGGGTTAGAGAAGACTGCAAGTAAATGAACTTTGACAGACTGACTCATTCATTCAGCACCGGTAGCTGCCCAGATTGTGAATAAAAGATAGGTAGTCCTTGACTTCATGGAGTTTTTAGTCTAGTGGGCCAGATCAACACACAACTATACAAATGGCAGACTGTGGTTAGCCCCAGGAAGGAAGAGCACAGAGTGCTATGAAGTGATACCATGGGATCAGTTTTGTGGGGAGAAGGGGAGGCAGGATTGTTCCCCTTAGGAAGGGAAGTTTGACTGAGCCAGCACCATCCAGACAAAGGGAGGAGGGTTCAATAGGATGGAGGAGGAGGGTGTCACATGGGAAGAAAAAGCAGCCTGTTCAAGGATCGAGAAGAACAGAATAGGAAGAAAGACCTCAAGGGAAGATGGGGGGTGGGCAGGGCCACGCTTCCCAGTCTGGGAGGCCAGGCTACGTAACGTGGCCTTTCTCCCAAGAGCACGGGGAGGTCATGCGAGGTTCTAAGTAGAAAGCTGTGTGGTTGGGTTTGTGTTTTCCTCATTCTTCTGTCAGCATTGTGGGATAGATGGCAGACAGCTGGAAGAGGAGGAGAGGTCATTAGAAAGTGATCTGGGTTTTCCAGGTGAGTGACAATGACAGCTTGGCCTAGGACATCTGTGAGAGGGAAAGTGCTAGAGACAGTCCCCCAGTATTTAAAAGATAAAGTCAACATGGGGTACCTGGGTGGCTCAGTTGGTTAAGCATCTGACTCTTGATTTTGGCTTTGGTCATAATCTCATGGTTCATGAGATTGAGCTCCGTGTCAGGCTACGAGCTGCGGTGTGGAGGCTACTTGGGATTCTCTCTCTCCCTCTCTCTCTGACCCTCCCGCCCCAAATAAATAAATAAACTTAAAAGAAAAAGATAAAGTCAAAGTGATTTGCCAATGGAGCAGACTTGAGAGCTGAAGGAAGCTGGGATGTTCAAGACAAAGACAAAGCTCTCTGATTGCATGGTTTTGTGGACGATGGTGGGACTTCCTGGGGAAGGGACCAGAGGAGAGGCAGTTCAGCTGCAGACATGTGGAGTAGAGGTCTGTAAAGCCCCCATGAGGATGTATCAAGCAGGCAGCCAAGTGCACAGAATGTATCAAGCAGGCAGCCAGAGGACCGACGAGACTAGAGAGAAAAGTTGATGGGGCACATCACCCAGAAGGATGACAATGAGCTTGCCTGGGAAGAGGATCCGGACTGAAGACACAAGCCCACCTTACCCCCTACTATGCCTGGCTCTATAAACAGCATGGAGTTCAATAAATACATTCGCAATAAACAAACAAGGAGCCGCATCCGTTGAAAGTCAGGACAGCAGCTAGGAAACAACTACACGGAAATGAAAACTTCCCTGACCTCCATGTAATCCTGGCTTGGGTTGATACGATGAGATTTAAAAGAAAGGGGCAGATTTGTGAGAAATTAACAAAGGAAAGATCAGTGAGGCCTTTGTCTTGTAATAAAAGAGATGATTGAAATACAGACCTAGCAGGAAGGGCTCCATATTTAAATTAAATCATCTTAATTATGGTATATTACAATGTTTGTCACCTGAAATTGGTATTTTATTGTTCATAATAATACCTTACATGCCACCCTACAAAGTACTTGCATACTAATTACCATGTTGCATAGTTAACTTTAATATAGCTCTTAAATTCTGTCATTGTGTGCTCTTCATTTATATCCTACTTCAAGGAATTTTAAAGCTTTACCCTTAGTTGTGTTTACATTTTAAGAGGACTTAAAATTTTAAATCGCTGGCCTTTTCTCAAACCTTAGAAGACAAAAGAGGAAAATGTACATGTGTACTTTGAATATGTAAAAACATTCTGTGTTTAAAAGCCACAGATTGGAAAAACATTATTGTCAACAGCAGTTTGCAGAGAATACAATGTCCCCAGTGGATAAGAATTTGTTAAAAATATATATAAATCTATAAAACCTGGGTTCCTCCCCCAGTACAGATCCTAGTGCTTCTTAAATCTCTGACAAGTCCCTCGGCTTCAGCGTCCCCCGTGTCTCCATCTGTAGGAGATGGGCTAATCGGTCATTCTCACACTGGGCACCATAGAACTGGAGCGCCAGATGTGGGTGTGACACATACGTAGGCTGGGGCTGGGAGGGCAGGCTCCAGCCCCTTCCTCACCTCCTTCACCTCACTTTTATCTACCAAGGCTACCAGCAACGTATTACTGGGAAATAGGACTCTTCTGAATTATTATTAAAACATAACCAGACAAAAAGTTTGAAAAACCACTGCCATGAGACAGGGCACCCCTGAGATTCTGATACAACAGGTCAAGGGTGAGTGAGGCCTAAACATCCCGATCACTTAAAATATCCACAAACAATTTCTCACCCAAAGCTGAAAAAACATAAACTCAATGATCTCTAACATCTCCTCTACTAACATCTCTTCCACAGAAGTGGAAGCAGCAAGGATCCAAGTCCCAGAACACTCTAGCTAACATTCCTTTCAAGGATAGGAACCATCAGAGGACTGCTGGATAATGTCTGCTTCTTTGATTTCCAGCAAATTTTGTTCCACGAGAACAAAATGTCCAAGAGACATTTGGCTTCAACTACTCTGAGATTGGCCAATCCACTTTGAAAAGAACACAAATGCTATCAAAGCAGTTAAAACCTCAGTGCCTTCCTGGGACATCCTGGAACGTGTCTGGGGATCCAACTGAGACAAAGCCTTTAAGCATCCCTGAGAAGACTAGAATCACTGGAAATTAATCCAAGGGAGTACAGACTGAAGATCACTTTCTGATAACCACACTCGGGGAAAAATTAGCTACCTAATATGAAAGAGCAGCATCTTGTAAATATCCTAAACTGCTGGACAAAGTGACTTTTGACTCAATCCAGTACAGAGAGAACAAACAGCACAGAATATAAATAAATAAACATGCGTGCACACACACACACACACACACACACACACACACACACACTGTTAACCAAAAACTGACAAAAATGTCCACCACACTAACCAGCAATTAAGGCATCTTTAGGCCATCGGCTGAACCAGTCAATGGTGCATCCTGAAATAAGGGCAGGGAACTTCAAAGCTCGATTTCGAAATTTCTCCCCCACAGGTGAAAAGCAGAGCACAATGTGAAGGTTCTGCCGGACCCGACTCATGAAGTAGTCATACAGGTTCTCATTGGTAGGAGGGCGCCTGGGGTATTCTTTTTTCATGACTGATAGGAGATCACTATTAATTTCATCAATTTCATCACGAGCAAATAGGTTGGAGACCTTCAAAAGAAGTGCAAACATTCAAATTCAGTACAGGCATATACAAACAGATCAAAATATATAGGTCAATACATATGATATCTTTCCTCCATTTGTGTCCTAAAACTCACCTTTAAAAATTAACAAAAGTCCTCATGACACAAACAAATGGAAAGACATTCCATGCTTATAGATTTTTTTAAATGTTTACTTATTTATTTTGAATGAGAGAGAGCATACATGCATGTGAGTGGGGGGCAGGCAAGAAGGAGAGAGAGAATCCCAAGCAGGCTCCACACTGTCAGCACAGAGCCTGACACGGGGCTCAATCCCATGAACCCATGAGATCATAACATGAGCCAAAATCAAGAGTCAGATGCTCAACCGATTGAGCACACCCCCATACTAATAGATTGAAAGAATTAATGTTATTAAATGTCCATATTTCCCAAAGCAATCTACAGATTCAATGCAATCCCTATCAATATACCAATAGTATTTTCTGCAAAACTAGAATAATCCTAATATTTGTATGGAACCACAAAAGACCCCCAATAGCCAAAGCAACTTTGAAAAGGAAGAACAAAGATGAATGTATCACAATTCCAGATTTCAAAATGAACTGCAAACCCATAATAATCAAAATAGTATGGTAATGGGGAGTCTGGGTAGCTCGATCAGTTGAGTGTCCAGCTCTTGATTTCAGCTCAGGTCATAATCTCAGTTTGTGAGATCAAGCCCTCTGTGCTGAGAGCATGGAGCCTACTTGGGATTCTCTTTCTCCCTCTCTACCCACATTCTGTCTCTTTCTCTGTCTCTCTAAACATAAACAAAATAACTGAAATGAAATGAAATGAAATGAAATGAAATGAAATGAAATGAAATGAAATGAAATGAAATGAAAATGGCTTAAAGACCTAAATATAAGACCTGAAACCATAAAACTCCTAGAAGAAAACATAGGCAGTGGTCTGTGGCATTAGCCTTAGCAACATTTTTTCTAGATGTGTCTTCTCAGGCAAGGGAAACAAAAGCAAAAATAAACTATTAGGACTACAGCAAAGTAAAAAGCTTTACACATCCTTTTTTTAAAAAATTAGCCAAGTCCTCAAGATAAGATACCCCACATTTTAAAATACACAAACGATTCTATTATTAACTGCAAAGTCATAGCCCTTGGAGGGGGTAAATGGACATATCGAATATCCAATCAGCTCACTTTTATTCTCCAAACCCAACAGAAAAAGCAATTCTTCCTAATAGGGATCTCCTAATCCCCCATAATAGCACTCATTCAACAACTGTGATGGAAGGACACAGAGAGCTCTCAAGTTGGAGGATATCTGAAGAGTCAAAATGCATGAAGATATATGAACTCCTACCTCCCCTGATGATAAAACATTGTTCACGTATTCCAAAACTGACTCATCCTTAATCTCATTGTCCGTGAAGATGAAAGTGATTCCTCTGCCTTGCTGTCCAGCTGTTCTATACAAAATCTTCAGGTCTTCCACTAGATTTGATGTGTTGTAGGACCTAAAGAAATATTGTCATTGTGTCGTTAGCTAAATTATTTTGATGGGAAGGAAAAGATCGCTATAACAATGCTTTATGCCATTTGGTTAATAAAAAGAAGTGCTGATATTGTTCCATCAGATAAGAATTTTATTGTATGGGAATGTTACTGGTTCGTTGTATTTACTTACAAGGATGAAATTGATTTTTAAAACTTTCTTTCAGTGCTGAATACCTACTCCTTTGGGAGTAATAGAGGTGAACCATTTTGTGAAAATTTTTGAGTACTTCCTTATTCGCTAAAGTTAAGAACTATTTTTTTTTTCTTGAGGCATAATTGACATATAACATTATGTTAGTTTCAGGTGCACAACATAGTATTTCCATACTTGCATATATTGTAAAAAGATCACCACAATAAGTCAACATCAAGTCAAATCACAGTATATTTACCTGAAAATATGAAACTGATTTTTAAACTCCACATATCATGAAACAGTATAATTTTCTGGGACACAAAATAAAAACCTAAAGTAAAAAGTCAACCTGAAACCAAAATACTGTTTTTACCACAACGAAGTGTCATCTGAAGCCATATATGTTTCATTTTGAAAATACTTGTTGGTAACACTAAAACAAAGGTTAAATTGGGATGTTTACTAAGGACCTATCTGCCACTGGAATTGTAATGACACCTCACAAATTAATCTAAATGAAGCAACTTCAAGTCTTATTCTTTCGGGTGAGGGACATGCCTCATTACAAATGGTGCCCTCTCGAGGCGCCTGGCTGGCTCCATCGGAAGAGTGGGTGACTCTTGACCTTGGGGTTGTAAATTTGAGCCCTGCATTGGGTGTAGAGAAATTACTTAAATAGTAAAATGTTAAAAAAAGAATGTTGCCCTCTCATCCTCCAACACATCTTTGGGGCCCACATAAAAGAGTTTTCTGAGCAATCAGTACACAGTAGGAGACTAGCTGGAAACACGGAATATCACACTCTAAATCTTCTTTCACGATGAAAAGCAATCCTTTAGTGGAAGTCAGCCTGCAATCATGAAATATTAGAAAGGTCCCAATACAGGGCAGCCCATTACCACCAAAAGTAAAAATAAAGGTCTTCCAATCCTAGAGATTCAGACTTACTGAATTATTATTTGAAATTTTTTGTCATTAAATAAACTCAGAGTTCAAAGCACAAGAGCAAATGGCCTTCTGATTTTTTTTAAGGCTACTAAATATTTAACTTCTATACTCTGTGCTTTTTGATCATCTAAACCCTAAATCCTAGAACCAGAAATCCCACTACCAGGCATCAATATTTTAAGAAAATGTCTAGAGAAGTGAGATCTGAGAGATTAGAAAAGAATTTCAAAGATGCAGTTCCCCATTAGAGAGGGAGACAGAGAGGAAAAAAAAAAACCTCATCCCAGCTTCTCCTGACTTGGAAAAACTTCCAGTCCAGTCCCCTGGATCAAGGGCCCGCTGCCTCAAATAATGACCTGAGCCTTCTTACAAATGTCTGTGTTTCCAGAATGTGAGGCTCTTGCTTCCTGATTCTTGGCCACATAGCTATGCAGAGGTGTAGGCAGTAAGATGGCCTCTTGAAGGCAATGGGAAGGCTAGCAGGCCTTGGCCCTCCTTTCCATTAGTAACAGAGCGTTCCCACTGTGACATGCAGAGGAACTAATTTATCACAGAGAGAGGAGGTGCAAGATATTTTTCCTGAGGCATTGCGGCACAAAGCCCAGCCAGACCAGAAACCAAAAATACTGTTGGTTAATTCCCAGGTAGATCTGGGATTTCCCACAAGTGATAGAGTCTCCACTGTAAGATAGGCTAATATTATATGCCCTGCTAACCCATAAAGCTCTTTTAAAGACCAAATTAGCCTAGGCATATAAAAGTGCTTTGAAAACTATACAGTTTTAAATAAATGTTGGGAACAAAAATCTCAGAGTCCAGGGGTACCTGGGTGGCTCAGTCGGTTAAATATCTGACTCTTGACTTTGGCTCAGTTCATGATCTCAAGATTTGTGAGATTGAGCCCTGCATAGGGCTCTGTGCTGACAGAGTGGAGCCTGCTTAGGATTCTCTCTCTCCTTCTGTCTCTGCCCCTCCCCTCACATTCTCTCTCTCTGTCTCTCAAGATAAATAAATAAACAACATTAAAAAAAAAATCTCAGAGCCCAGTCTCTTTCCTGTATAGGATATCATTTATCAAATTCTGCTTCTATCCAAACTAGAACAATTATACACAAGGCAATTAGAATTATTTATCTCTGTCCTAGTACTTGAAAACAAAGCAAAAACAAAAAACAAAAAACAAAAAAAAACAAAACAAAACAAAAACCAGCAATCTTTTAGATTTATTCCCCAAGCAGAAGCCTATAATCTGAACCAAATGGAAAGTGTAACAACAACACATGAATATCTGGGCCTTAATCCCAGTGTTTAATCATTTTTGATCTTTGCCCTAGTAGATATCTATAGGTCTCCATCAGTAAGACAGATGGGTACACTTTGCCCTACTGGGCCAAACCAAAACTCTAGATCAATGCCCAAAAGGCAAGACTTCCTAGTCCCACACCTACAGGTTAACCTCTTATAATTTTCAGCCCAACTAAACTTCGCAAACTGGCCTCCTGTTTCTCATCTTGGTTAATCCTGAAATTCAGCCCCTTTGAATCACCCCTGCTTTTCTCTTCATGCTGACTCTTCACTTCCTGGTTCCGCCCGCCCCACACATGTATGTCCAAGAACAACCGTCCTGGGGTTCCCTATCTTGAGGAGTGTTTGCATGAGTGTATGCATCATCTTTCCAAGCCAGAACTAGGATGGATCAAGTCCAATAGTTCAACTTCCCAATGATCTCAAGTCTGTCCTTTTTTCTCCATTCTTACTGCTACCACTCAAGTCCCATTATCTCTTGCTTAGACCCCTGGGACGCCTTATAACTATTCCTGTTTAGCCCCTTCCATCCATTTTCTGTACATACAAACCCATAGGCCCTTCCTAGGGGTAACTCATTAATGGTTTTCTGTTGCTCTAGGATAAAGTCTAAATTCCTTATCATATCTTCAAAGGCCTCCTTTTCTATTCCTTCCCCACTTAGTATCTTATGCTGCACAACCACCCATATTTTACTTCTTCCAGGGCCTCAATGTGACTTCACATGTGCTGATCTTTTTTGCCTGGAACGTTCTTTATCGTTCCTCTTCTCTAACTCCTATTCTTATTCAGGTTTCCATCTTTTCCTCCAGAAAGCCTTTTCTGACCATCCCCCACACTAGGTTAGGAGTCCCTCCCTCGTGTTTCAATAGGAGCTGGTCTGCATTTATTTCTTTCTCATAGATAGCACCTACTTACGACACCTTTTTTTTTTTTTTTAAAGTTTATTTATTCTTGAGAGAGAGAGAGAGAGAGAGCGTGCAAGCAAATGGGAAAGGGGAAGAGAGTGAAGGAGACACAGAATCCAAAGCAGGCTCCAGGCTCAGAGCTGTCAGCACAGAGCCCAACACGGGGCTCGAGCTGACAAGCTATGAGATCATGACCTGAGCTGAAGTCGGACGCTTAACCGACTGAGCTACCCAGGCGCCCCCTACATACGACACCTTACTGAATGAACTGCTCAGGTGCCTGACCCCTTGACTACTGTAAGCTCTGTCATGACACGAGCCAGACTTGCCATGTGCTCCCTAGCACCTAGCCAGTGCCTGGTGCATAGCTGGTGTTCAACAAATATTTTTAAATGTACGAATAAATGAATAAATACAAATTTTTCAGTTATTTTTCTAGTTTGTTAACATTCTTGAAACCTGAATTAACATCTAGGAGGGAGAAGTTTCTTCCGAAATACACCAAAAGGAATACACGTAACACTCATGGCATGCATAAGTGCAGGGGGGCAGCTATTTACAACGAGAGGCTGAAATATCTCAAAAGCAAATTATTAATGTGAAAATTTCATATCTACAACAAAGGTTGAAAGGGGACAATGATAACTCAACATTTAAGAAGGAAAATGATTATGATTCCTTATGTTTAAGAAAAATGCATTCTAAATTCAAGTGGCCTCTGAGAACCTGCTATCAAAATCCATTTCAGGTTAATTAAAGTGAAAGCTTGTTACCTTGTCAGAGTGATCTGGAAGGAAGTATAGCCAGCAATGAACGAAGCCAACCTCGTCAGGCTCTGCTTTCCTGATCCGCCCACCCCCACCAGGAGGGCATTTCCCCGGGGCGTGCCAATGACACGTGAGATCTAGAATGCGGAATAGAAAAGACACAGATCATTGTTCAACATGTAAATATTCCATTTTTTCCTCTTTACGCAAAAGAAGCATTTGGGAAGCCATATGTGTCTCAGGATCGGAATGGAGAAAGATGCTGGCTGGATGAAGGACAGCATTTCTGAAATAGAATGGTGTTTGAAGAGTACCAGACAGGGCATATGTTGGGGGCGCCTTTGGGAAACAAGAGGAGACGAGTACAGAGAAGTCAGCTGAAGTCCCTCTTTGGCCTGCTCTGGGTTTTAAAGAAAAGAAATAGAGGAGACTTGGATGTTTCCTTTCAGTCTCCCAACCTAACGCAGTGGGACAGGAAAGAGACCGAAATTTCAAGACAATGTATATCCTTGGAATACAGAAGAGTTGATTAGAATATCTTCCACATTTGAACAATGGCAGAACATTTAAATTGAAGGGAAGAAAATTTCCAAAATGTGGCATTGGTGATGGAATTTTGAAGAGGAAGATGACGAGGAGGAGGAGGAGGAGGAAGAAGAAGAAGAGGAGGAGGAGAAAGAGGAGGAAGGAGGGGAGAGAAGGAGGAAAGAGAGAGAGAGAGAGAGAGAGAGAGGGCAACACAGAATCCAAAGCAGGCTCCAGGCTCTGAGTTGTCAGCATGGAGCCTCACACGGGGCTGGAACTCACGAACCGTGAGACATAGTGACCTGTGCCAAAGTCAGACACTTAACCAACTGAGCCACCCAGGTGTTCAGAAGCCCATGTTTCTTTAGCTTTATTGTTACTGATGAATTGCTTACACCATCAGGCTTCCAACACCCCCACAGAGGGGATTCAGTGTAGGATTCTCCTGGATGCTTTTTTCTCTTTACATGATAACTACTTCTCTTTCCGACCTAACTGCAGTCTGAGCCTGGGGTATTGGTGTGATACCCACTTTTCTGTAGACTAATGATAGTGAGAATGGAGCTGAGACGGATCACCTCTATGCGGCTGGGGTAACCTGGAATTAGCAATATGTTGACGAACATATTGGTAAACATCCTTTCTCAGGATTACCTCCTGTGGCAGGGGCTACACTTTATTCCTGTTGGGACTACTCTTTTTTTCTTTTTGTTCAGATATAATAAAATTCTGGGACTACTCGTGGCTGTTGGATTATTTCTTCCAATGTAGTGTGAGCCCCTGGAAAGGAAGATCATGTTCACGTCTCTGTTGTGGGTCTGAGAGCCTGTGGCATGGGTGGGTGGCACACTGGTCCTTCCAGGCTCCTACTCAGTTGTAGGCAGGGGAGTTGTTGTAGGCAGGTAAGGAACAGTACTGGCAAGAATGATTTTGCTGCTGTCTATTCATATTCTTTCCGTGGTACTATTTCAAGAGGCACAGATAAGGCAGGTAAGGGGCTACTGAAAGCCACACTGGAATCTTCTGTGTCTTTCCTTGGTTAATATTTTTCAAATATATGTCTTTTGTCCTAACCATTTCCTTCCGTTGGTGTTGGTGAATATATTAAGGGTTGAAATAATTGTTGATAATTATGTACTGGGAACCTCCACCCAATATCTTTTCCTGAAACCGGCCTAGATCTTACATTACAATATTCCATTCCCAGTTTCTAGCACACGTTAAACACTCAAACTGCATACGACAAATGAACATATACATGAATAAATAAGTAGAAGGGTTTAAAAGAGATTCAAAAACTCATACCCTAGAATACAAAAAGAAATAAAGGAGAAAACGCAGTCAAACAGGACCTTCAAATGGTACTATCTTTCTCCTACTCTATAGATTGTGAGATAAAACTATTCATTTTTCAATTCCTTTAGCAAATATTTTAAAAATTAGCAATGCCCAGCCTGCCCCGCAGGTGCTCATGTGCTAACAGAGGAGAGAGACCTGCTAACAGAAACGTGGGGATGTACCACGCTGCATGTGGAAACAGGTAAAAATGGCGGCAAACAAAACAGTGCTGCTGGGCAAAGGCAACTCTCAGGTTTGGAGCTGGAGCGTGATCTGGATCTTGAAAGATAACTACGAGTCTCCTACAAAGAAGTGGGCAGGCCAGGCAGGAGTTGGGCTACGTTTTAAGAAGAGGGGCTGGGGTGCACAAAGTCTCAGAGTCGACAAAAGGCCTGGGGTATCCCTAGGAGGTGGGAACTTCAGTACTAGGTCCAGAAACATCAGGAGATGAGGCAGCAAAGGGTTGGCTAGGGCCTCAGTGGGGACTTGGTTAAATTCCAATCCCATTTATCAAGCATCTCAAGTGTGCCTATTCTCCGTCCTGTGAATACTGAAGTGAATAAATTGGGTGCCCCACACTCACAAGCTTGCTGCCCAGCAGGGAAGACAAACACACAACACAGATAAATTCCACACGACGCGGCACTTGTTGGGAATGCACGTGGGTGAAGTTGTCTGGAAGAAGGGTGCGTTTCATCATGGGTAGCTGATTTTGCTTGATTACATGCTAAGCTGAGCATAAGCCACAGGCTAGAGTGCTAGGCAGGGGCGAGACCACAAAAAACCACACATGTCATGGTTCAAATCTTAACCAAAGAGGCAAAAGAGCTGTCACAGAGATATTCTCTGTTTTGAAAGAAAATCATTATTTTATTTTATTTTATTTTATTTTATTTTATTTTATTTTGAGAGAGAGAGAGAATGGGGGAGGGGAGAGAGAGAATCTTAAGCACGGAGCCTGATGCAGGGCTCAATCTCCCAACCCTGAGATCATGCCCTGAGCCAAAATCAAGAGTCGGATGCTTAACCAACTGAGCTACCCAGGAGCCCAGAAGAAATCATTAGTTTACCGAAGAAAGGAACTAAGAAATATGCCTGGTCTCATATCACATCCTGTTTTGCTATAATTTTCATCTTAATTCTATCTTGTAGCTTCTATCACATCTTATAACTAGGTCACATATTTTCAAGGCTCACATCCATGTGACACTTTGGACGTATTGTCCACAGGAAACAAGCAAAGAGAAGAGAGGGTCAGCCTAGGAGACTGTGAGGAATGTAGCATCTTAGCTCAAGAACTCCAGTCAGGAATTCTTCAGCCAATTCAAGAGCAGACACAAGAGCCTGAGAGAGAAACTGAGGCAAACAGTCAAAGACCCTGTGCTGAGTCACCTGTGCCTCAAATGTCGTGTGCCCACAATTTTGAAGTGAAGAAATGCTCATCGCTCATACTTATTGCTCATACTCTGTGTTTGAAACACAGAAATGAGACAGTTCTAGAGAACTTATTCAAGCACGAGACTAACAATAGCCTCATTTCTTTTTTTTTTTAATATTTTTTAATTTTATTTATTTCTGAGACAGAGAGAGACAGAGCATGAGTGGGGGAGGGGCAGAGAGAGAGGGGGACACAGAATCCGAAGCAGGCTTCAGGCCCTGAGCTGTCAGCACAGAGCCCGACACGGGGCTCGAACTCACAGACTGCGAGATCATGACTGAGCCGAAGCGGGACGCTCAACCGACTGAGCCACCCAGGGGCCCCAACAATAGCCTCATTTCAATCTGAGCCATTATGAAATCCTAGGCCAGTCAGATTTTGTCCCCAAGAGACGTTAGTTATGAAGTTGCTTTTGGTATCATTTTCTTTTTTTTTCTTCTTCCTTTTAATCATTAAATATGACAGACTATCATTATTTGCATTTGGAAGGATATCTGTGCTCATAATTCAGCACAGATGTCTCAGATTCTGAGTATTCTAAGTGTCCAAGCTAAATGCCTTCATGCAGGGGGCGGCGGGGGCAGCAGTGGGGGCACGGTACCCAACCCAGACCAGCCTCTCCGTCTTCCTCCCTCTTCCTGATGTCCTGGAGCCTTCCCCACCCTCTTCTGCTTTCAGAGGGAGGGTCGTCTAGATGAACTCTAGATTCAGTAATTATGAGAGGAGACAATTTGCAATTATAAGGTTGCTCCTCATGATTAAACCTAAGCAATGGAATTCAGCCTCAAGCTGTCCTTTTTCTAACTGAAAGGATGTAGTCTGAGAAAGAAGTTGACATCAACAAAGTGAGAATATCAGCAACAGATTTAAAATGGCATTCTCTTGGGGCACCTGGGTGGCTCAGTCAGTTAAGCATCCAGCTCTTGATTTGGGCTCAGGTCATGATCTCAGGGTCGTGAGATCAAGCCCTCCATGGGACTCCTTGCTGAGCATGAAGCCTGCTTAAGATTCTCAAGCCCTCTCCCTCTGCCCTTCCCCCACTCACACACTTGCCCGCACTCTAAATAAATAAATAAATAAATAAATAAATAAATAAATAAATAAATAAATAAAATGGGATTCTCTACCACCACAAATAAATTAGATCACATAAGTTATCAAGTAAATAACATATTTTGTTTCCAGTCTTTGCAAATCAACTATCTTAGGAAGAGATACTGAATGACCCCTATGACAAAGCAGAAAGGAAAATGTACTTTCCTGGTAAATTTCATTCTAGCAAAATTTTCACCCAGCTCAAAGTCAATTGTTCATGCGGTATTTTCTTATTATCATTTCTAACTGTGGTAAAATACATGTGACCTAAAACTTCCCATCTTGACCATTAGGCATATCGGTCAATGGCATTGTGGTGCAACCACCACAAAAACTCTCCATCCTGCAAAAGTGAAACTCTGTACCACTAAACACTCCCCACTCTCCCTATCCCTACACCCCTGGCAATCACCATTCTACTTTCTTGTCTCTATGAATTCGACTATCCTAGGTACCTCAGACAACTGGAATCATCCAGTGTTTGCCCTTCTGTGACCAGCTTATGTCACTAAGCATAATGTCTTCAAAGCTTACGCACTACTTTTTACAGCTCTCCTTTGCATAATACAAAAAATAAGCAGACTTTCTGCCTGTGCTTTGAACTCAGATGTCAACCACATTCATTCTACGTAGTGAAAACATTGAGCTGGAAGCTGTGTAGCAACACTGAATAAGATTATATCACACGTTGGAAGTCTACATGCTCTGATTTTCAGGCTGATTTTCCGCCTATAGGTGTCACATGTTGCAGTTTCGAAATTAAACTGGACTCCAACATTGAGTTGATTTTTTACACTGAATATTCTCTTAGGAGATGAAAACAAAAGAGGGGAAAAAATTCTGGTTTGAAGCCCCACGTCCGTCACTTTGGGGAGGTGTTACTGGGCGTGGCCACTGACCTTGACTAAGTGAACCATGGCATCATCGAAGAACACCAAGTCCACGCCGGTGCCACGGATGCTCTCGTTATACAGCTGCAGGAACATAGTCAAACGCTTCTTTAGGTGATCAAAAGATTCAATTGGCTCATAAATTTTGGGCATTTCGGCATCAGCCTCGTCAGATGTTTCACCTAGGGAGTTGGGGGAACAATTCAGTTGCTTCCTCAAACTGCCAGACTTTACTACTTCCTTCAACCTAAATTAATACACTCATAACTCTACAATTTAACACTGAACAATACTGATTTTCACCCAAATGCCATAGTATATATATTTTTAGAAAAGAAAAAAAGCAAACAATAGTAAAAGCATTGGAATTTTTGTGGTCATATGCAATCTTAGTTCCTTTCTGCCTAGAAAAGGCCAATTTCAAATAATGTAATATATATGGAATTTAATTTGAATCCATAATTGAATATTGGCATTTCAATGAACCTTCTGGGAATATTCGCTTCATGGACAAAATGAAGGTCAGAAAAACAGGGATTTAGTGTAAAAAATCAGCAGGAGAGATGAAGACTTAAAAGAATTTTTTAATAAGATGAAAAGAAAAAGGTCATTGCATTTGCTCAGGAAATTCTTATGATTCAGGAGTTTCAGGTTAGCGGCAAAGATAGAGTGAATTTTAGGGAACAGAGGTAGAGGGTTGAGAGAAAACAGAATAATGATTTCCTAAATAAACATATTGAATTGGGTCACTGGGAAAAGATTATTGAAATCAATATGCTTTTTTAAAAATGAGAAACACATAATATACCAGCTTAACACTTTTCCATCTTTGACTATAAGGCATAATGCCAAAGGAAAGCTAAATGAGGTCTCTGGAAGTTTACTATTGGTTCACATTAGTAACAGGAAAAAGAGTGACATCTGAGTTGAATATGCCAGTAACAACTTAGAAATTCACTGGGTACTAGAAGAGTGAGTGGATCTTCCAAATCTAATAGTACATAATTATTGTCAATTGACCTTGTCCTAATATAATAGTATATTAACCTTTTTATAACAAAGCGAGAAAATTGATTTAACATAGCCATGAAGATTGGCTTCTTTGCAAAGCCCTCACTAATTAAATTTCAATAGTCACTTCACCTTTTTTTTTTTATAAATGTTCAACTCAAACTTTGAGAAACAAAGCGCTTTGAATCAACAAAGGTCATGTGTTTGCCTCCCACACACCCACCCAGCAAAAGTGCCCCAGTTGTGCTTTGCTGCTTGGAAACCATAATCTAATTATTTAGCCTTCTGAATTAGAGGAAATAAAAGACATAAATTTTTATTATTTACCCTTCTGAATTAGAGCAAATGAGATACATAAATTCTAATTTTAAATGCTCTTACACCTACAGGATTTTTGTACGTAGGTGACCTGATTTCAAGTAAAATGTGTCAGCTTCTTTCTGTGGAAGGATCCTTCCAACTGCATAGCTAGCAGTAAACTGCCTTTTGCAATTGTCACTCGGGAACTTCTGATAGATCACACACATCCTTATCAAATCTGGAAAGGGGCTGCCTGGTCACTTTCAACCGTTTAGAAGATATAAATAGCATGTGTTTAAATATAGAAATTAACTTAAAATTCACTTCCAGTATTTTTAAAAAAAGGTAATTAAATGAAAGAGAAATAGTCTACTTACACTGTTATTTCTGAAGGAAAAAAGTAATTGGAGCACTACCTCTTTGCATAAGAAGAGAAGCAATATATCTCTCAATTTTTCATAGAACCATAACCACGAAAGCTTATGGCCACATCACCCACCTCTTTCCCATTAGATTCAAAGGCTTTCTCAGGTATTTGAGGCTTTTCTAATTTCAACACTCGGGATGACCCAAATAACAATTACAGGAAAACCACGGACTGTGAGTACCCTGTTCTGTGAGTGTTCCGCGAGATGAGCAAACATTTCTAATGAATTTTATCTTGATAAACAAGCGATGTCTTGCAATATGAGCAGTACGCGTCGCCGAATATCACATGATCTCAACCGAGCCGAAGGTTCTTGAAATTCTCTTTGACATACGAGTGCTTTGGATTACAAGCACGTTTCCGGAACGAATTATGTTCGTAAACCAAGGTTTTTGCTACCTTCCATTCGGCAGACTGCCAAGCCACTCTGCAGATAATATTTCATTTATTTCCCGCAGTGCCCCATGACGCATATATTACTATTTCCATTTTCCTAAGGGAGGAGAATGAGGTTCAAGTCCAGAGAGTCATCCAGCTAACGTGTGGTAGATCCCTTCCACAAACCTACCACTGTGTGACAGCTACAAATCCTGGGCACTTTCTTCTACCCTATCTTGCCTCCTAAATCTACTTTATATGCAAGATTGAGAGGTATAAAAAATAGTTAATCTTTGAGCTCCATCAGTGGCCACGCATTCTGTATTTATTGAGCAACTACTATGTCCCAGGCTTGTTTCAGTAAACTTTCCTAGCCAGAAACTCAACATCCCTAACCTGAACCTTCTGTCTTCAAGTATCCCTTTGGGGAATTTCAAATTCTGCTTCACTTCTTTACCTGTCACTTCAGGTGCATCCCTCAGGAAATCCACAAAATAAGCATCAGATCCACAGTCCACCAAGGGTTTTTTCTCTTCACCAAACTCCTCCTCCACCAAACGTACTAAAGCCTTATCAAACCAGGTCACATCACCGGAAACCGTGAAACGATCAGCTACAACACGTTTACACTCATGCTTCCACAGCCTTAACAGATCCTGTTGAAAACAGAATTAAAACGTGTTATTCTTTCCTATTTGCCATAGTTGGGAATCAATTGACAAAATTATAGAGCACCATCCTTCCTGATCTAAGATGCTACATTTTAAAAACTGAAGGTTAGGGGCACCTGGGTGGCTCAGTTGGTTAAGCCTCCAACTTCGGTTCAAGTCATGATCTTGAGGTCCATGAGTTCGAGCCCCATGTGGGACTTGATAGCTCAGAGCCTGGAGCCTGTTTTGGATTCTGTGTCTCCCTCTCTCTCTGCCCCTCCCCCACTCAGGCTCTCTCGCTCTCTCTCTCTCTCTCTCTCTCACTCTCGCTCTCACTCTCCCTCTCTCTCTCAGAAATAAACAAACATTAAAAATATTTTTTAAAAAATTAAAACTTAAGGTTAAAACATACTTCATTTCAGGGTGCCTGGTTGGCACAGTCGGTTAAACATCCAACTTCGACTCAGGTCATGATCTCTATCTTGTGGCTGGTGAGTTTGAGCCCCACATCAGGCTCTCTGCTGTCAGAGTACAGCCCTCTTTGGATCCTCTGTCCCCCTCTCTTTCTGCACCTCCCCAACCCACACACACACTCTCACTCTCTTTCTCTTTCTCTCAAAAAATAAACTTAAAAAAATATATTTTATTTCAAGTTGGTCTAATCAAGTATATCAAATAGAGTAGTGTCTATTCATGTTCAGTCTTTACATTAAAATGAAAACAAACCTAGACAAATCACTAAAATGATTCTGGTTAACCAACAAGGTAATATGCTACATAAAAGTCTTAAACCTGTGATAAGTTAGTCTGTTTGGATAAGACACCTACATTCATGTGGCCAGAGCAGAAAATAAAATGTAGTGTATAAACAATTTTCACATACATAACTATTAGAAGGGTATGTTTACTTAACACGATGTGAAGGAAATTTGCAGCAAAAGTCTGGATTATCTGAACAAAACAATCACCTAGTCTATGTAATCCAAGGTGCAAAGTTCATTGGAAGTTGAGGATATTAATTGCTCGATACACTTGTTTCTATAGCAAGTTCATCTGATATGAAAGACTGGTGGAAATTTCTGAGCTTGCTAACATTTTGCAGGTTAGGGAGTTTTTAAGCTATTATATTACTAATGATAAAATGCTATTGGTTATATTTGGTTACCAAAATTTTAAAGGAATTTAGTAAAATATATTCAATGATTCAGTTAATTAAGACAGAAGTTCATGACAACATCAATTGCTGGAAATATTTATGATGATTTCATGTAAGCATCAAAATCTGGCTACTCAAAAAATAATATTGGGGAACAGCATTCTGCATGGCCACTAATGTATCAATGAGTTTGAGGGGAAAAAAACCAAGATAAAATGTTCCCTGCTGCTAAAATTATTTTCTGTTCTCTGTAACAAGGAAAGTGAGCTTTCCCCAAAACGTCTTTCTTTGGAGTCAGCCATGTGGTTACCTACTTTGTGAGCATCTGGGGCAAAGCTGGGTTTTTTTTTTATAGTCACTACTCAATATGCCTAGTGATGGTTTGTTTGATATCTCAACTGTTCCTGTGTATTGATGTGGACAAATCCCTAAAGCCAATTTGCTTAATTACCTTCTCCACTCCATAAAAAGCTAAAAGGGAAGCCAATATTACCTTAGCCTGAGCACACAGGCCATGCTTTGGAATTTTTCCATAATGTTTCTAGTTTGAAGAGAATTCTTTTAATGCTAGGAACTGTTATATTCAAGTGTGTGTACAAATGCTCATTTCTCAGCCAAATGGACTTTCTACTCTTCTGCCTCTTCTTAATTATGCCAATATACATAATTGTTTTAGTTCATCTAGTTACACGGAAAAGAAAGATCGTGGATGATTAACAACAAAATGGTCTCTTCAATTTTGAGTGTTTATAAAGATAATTACTTTTTTAAAGCTAAGATGTCAACTTTAAAATATGGAGACTATTACATAATAAAATCAATACTGATTCTTTCCATTATTTAGTATAAGAAGAATATAATGGGAAAATAAGATCAGTTGTTTACTTTATTCCATTCATTAGAAAATAACTATGTATACTATTTCCTTAAATATAAATTTAATTGGAATTTTTTTTTTAATTTTTTTTTTTAAATTTTTTTTTCCAACGTTTATTTATTTTTGGGACAGAGAGAGACAGAGCATGAACGGGGGAGGGGCAGAGAGAGAGGGAGACACAGAATCGGAAACAGGCTCCAGGCTCTGAGCCATCAGCCCAGAGCCCGACGCGGGGCTCGAACTCACGGAGCGCGAGATCGTGACCTGGCTGAAGTCGGACGCTTAACCGACTGCGCCACCCAGGCGCCCCGTTTAATTGGAATTTTTTAAAAGAAACTTCCTGATGTACTTTTCCCTTATTTATGTTAGCTGAAAGGCAGAAAAAAAATGCATGCTAAAACATCCCAAAATATTTCATCATCCCACCAAACATTACATTACGAATAACAGTTTAGGGAATAGAATAAATAACGATGCCATTTATTTTCTCCTCTTATATTTCACTTACATCTGGTTCCTTGATAACCTCTGAGGTGGTGTTCAGCATTCCCTGCCAGATCCTAGAAAGATCTCGAAGGTTAAACACATAATGGAATTTTGCAGGGGTAGGGAGCATTTTCATCTTGGTCATCTGCCACAGTCGACGTGTCAGGGGGACCAATTTCTTTACTGAATCTCTCACGCCATCTGAGAAGCCCCTCTGACTGCAATAGTGGCCTACCCCAATCACACCTGAAAGGGGAAAAAAGTCATAACATTCTGAGTGATGGTTCAAGTCAGTGAAATTAAAATGGAAAACATTATACTATAGAGTTTGCACAATTATCATATACAGTATAATCGATGACCACATATCAAAGAAATTTACATTCGTGTTCTCTTATTTTTTTAATCTAAAAAATAGATATAGGCTCAAGGAAGTTAGCATCCTAATACCGAAAAGCTGGTTGAGAAACACTACTGAAAACTCTAGGTAAATGAATTCAGTATTATTAAGTGGGTGACATTAAATACATAAAGATGCTTTCGAAAGACATAAGGAAAAGGGAGGTGTCGGGAACCCTTAAGATTTCTCCATTCTACTGTTGCCTTTCCAAGCATTACAAAATATTTTAATTTACTTTGTGTGTAAAACTTTCTAGGCAAAAAAAGAATAATTAAAATTGATTAGTCTTTTTTTTTTTTCTGGTCCATTGTAATTTTCCCAGGTTTAGACAATTCACATATCACTTGGTTTCCAAACTTTTGCCCACTATCATGATTGAAGGCAGATATGGCCAAACCCCACTAGCCCAGGGTGCTGAGATGACATTCTAGTCTGCCAGAAATTAATTAGAGTATCCTAATGCATTTTCTCTCAGTAGTAGTTTCAGAAATGGTAAGTTAACACCTAACACAATGCGTACATAACTTTACACTCTTTTTCTGCAAAGAGAAACTACAAAATCAACTATAAACTCATCATTATTCAGTTTGACAATCATAGTTATCTCCTGGGCTAGTGCCGATATAGATATAGATATAGATATGTAGATATGTAGATATATATAGATAGATAGATATCTATATATCTATATAGATATATAGTGTTTATCTCCTGGGCTAGATATTATTTCTGAAATACTACATATTTAATCAATCAGTAACTTATTACAATCCTGTAAATTACTCTGATGATCAGACTCTGGATAATCTCTGCTATGGGCAAAATTATTGCTTTGGCCAAAATCATTATGTGGCTTGGTTAGTCTCAGCCACATAAGCATTTGGCATGGTAGTCTATCAATCGGACCTGAAATAGGTATATCCATGAGGAAACAATCTCATCATCTTCACGTTCATTTAATGTTTAGCCTCCTTGGTTAAGAAGCTGGCAACAGTCACTTTAAGAAAAACAAAGGTAGAAAGGATCTACCTAGGCACCCAATTCACTACATATATATAAAAATTCCTTATAGAAACAAAATCCTGATATAAACACTACTTGAGAGTACATGGTAAAAAGGACTGAAAAGCCACCCAATGCCCCTTCTGTGTTGACCTCTGGGTAGATATCTTCTTATTGGAATGCAAGTAGGTATTACTCCCTCCCCGTGCCCCACTGACACCATTTTACCAAAGATCTTGTCCATGGAAGCATCAGAAGGCAACGTGCAGTTGAATATAGAGAACTGTCTTTTGAGTCTTTGGGGAATATCATTGCGTCCACCCCCAGGATGGATCATGGCTGCCAAAAATTGGATGTCCACAATGCTGGTAAACTCCCCAGGCTTCTCCAGGTTATAAAACCCATTCTGTTCCATCAGCTGTCGTACTATCTCATTAGTAACCTAAGAAAGACAACGTTCAGAATTTAAAGGTCACTCCTTTACATCCCAGAAGCTAATGCCTTGATGTTGCCAAATAATGGAATTTCTTGGAATTCAGTAACAGCATATTGAAAAAGTAGAAAAATATTTACTCATCAATATTGAGTTGACATAAAGTGTGCAATGGAATCAATATACCTGATCGCCCCACTCATTGATTACTGGCATATTCACATCATCAATAAAAACAGTCATCTTCTTTCCCGCAGGAGGGCCATACGTTGTACCCATGCGTTTATCCACATAGCTCTCTATTGTCCTCTGCAAAACAAGAAAGCCAACAGAAAGATTTGTGAAAATATACCCTAAGACACGGTGAATGATTTTTAAAATCTAGGAACATTTGAATTGACAGGAATTACTCACAGACACCCCCGAAAACTCTCCTTAATTCTGGAAACCAGGGCATGAAGTGCCTAAAGTATCTTGCATAATGTTCACCTTCGAAAATCTGCTTTCATTTTGGAGTACGTGAAATTCTAATTACTGTAAATTTTGAGTGGGATGAGACTCCTTAGTCTATTCCTAAAGATTTTGTCTCATTGTTCTTATACGGATGACACTGCATTCCCCAGCCCCATTATTCAAAGAATTTAGCCCTTCTAAAAGTTTCCCTGTAAATCAGGGACAAAATTAAACAGGGCAACTGTCCAAGAAGCTTGCTAGGTCGGTGCTCTGAGCCACACAGCCCGTCCCAACGTGAAGACTGCTCTGTCTCCATTGAGAAGGCCACCCACGGGCTTCTGTAGTGGACACAATCCAGATCCAAGGCTTTGGGACAGCTGCAAGTACAGTGAATCACCTCTCACCCCCTGATACAAAATAGCAAACCACGCCCCGCTGGGTCTCTCTCATTTCTCCATTCTGAGTTTAGGTGGTAAAGAAAACTAACTATACTGGGCTCTATTTAAAAAACAAACAAAAACAAAAAAATTTTAAAAACCACACTTTTCCTAGCAATATGAAAAAAGGAGTATTGGAAGAAGTAAGGGAAACCTGGGGAGGGACCCAGACTATCAATCATTTCAAGGGTAGTACCGTGTGGTTTGGAAATCAACCAGTCATTCAAAATGTATGCCCTGAGTAACCAGAGCTAGAACACAAATAAAACAGAAAAGGCTTCATGGTCCTCATGCTCTAGAAGTTCAGTCTTAAAGACCTCGTTCCATACCTACCACTGTAGCAATTTACTGATCCAAGATTTTAAGTTGTGTTAAAGATAATGTAGGGGCACCTGGGTGGCTCAGTCGGTTAAGCATCTGACTCTTGATTTCAGCTCAGGTCACGATCTCCTGGCTCGTGAGATCAAGCCCTTGCAATGGGCTCTGGGCTGACAGTGTGGAGCCTGCTTGGAATTCTCTCTCCCTCTCTCTCTGCCCCACCCCAGATAGTGTGCATGCTCTCTCACTCTCTTTCTCTCTCTCAAAATAAATGAATAAACATTTAAAAAAGATAGTGTATAAATGTAGGAGAAAGTGGAGATACATTGACCCAAAATGCATCCTCCTCCTATCCAAAAAAGCTTACTTATTTCATGATGAAGAGCAAACTAGTTAAAAATGACTTCAATAGGGGCGCCTGGGTGGCTCAGTCGGTTGAGCGGCCGACTTCGGCTCAGGTCATGATCTCACGGTCCGTGAGTTCAAGCCCCGCGTCAGGCTCTGTGCTGACAGCTCAGAGCCTGGAGCCTGTTTCAGATTCTGTGTCTCCCTCTCTCTGACCCTCCCCCGTTCATGCTCTGTCTCTCTCTGTCTCAAAAATAAATAAATGTTAAAAAAAAAAAAAATGGGGCGCCTGGGTGGCGCAGTCGGTTAGGCATCCGACTTCAGCCAGGTCACGATCTCGCGGTCCATGAGTTCGAGCCCCACGTCAGGCTCTGGGCTGATGGCTCAGAGCCTGGAGCCTGTTTCCGATTCTGTGTCTCCCTCTCTCTCTGCCCCTCCCCCGTTCATGCTCTGTCTCTCTCTGTCCCAAAAATAAATAAATGTTGAAAAAAAAAAAATGACTTCAATAATCCAAGACACAACCACAAAATAAGGCCAACATAGAAGCAAAAAGTCATATATTTGTCCTCGGAAATCTTTGCAGTTTGGTCATTTCAAATTATAATTTCCCATCACCATTTTAATGAATAAGGGCAAGAGATATGACATTTTTTCACCATTTCCAAATATAAAGATATATAAATATATCACAACTCATTCAATTACAAAGTAAATCTCTCAAGACAACAGTACAATGGCAAAAAGAATTTCCTATTTCCCTGAAATAAAAGCAAGCTGTTTAAAGTAATGAACTGGCTAAATTTAGCTCTGCTTTTCAATGAATTTAAATGTGTAAGGCGATTCATAATCTCCTGACACCTTCCTATGGCAAGCTAGAGGCTTCCAGATATTCCCTTGTCTATTAATGAGACCTCATAAACACATGAAGATTTTATGTCTTGGGGCGCCTGAGTGGCTCTCAGTTAAGTGTCGGACTCAGGTCATGATCTCGCGGTTTGTGAGCTTGAGCCCCACATCGGGCTCTGTGCTGACAGCTCGGAGCCTGGAGCCTGCTTCAGATTCTGTGTCTCCCTCTCTCTCTGCCCCTCCCCCACTCAAGCTCGTTCGCTCTCTCTCTCTCTCTCTCTTTCTCTCACTCTCAAAAATAAACATTAAAAAAAAAAAAGATTTTATGTCTTGGGCGCCATCTAAGAGGTAAAAGGCCACAGGTGGAATAGGTGAAGTGATATGGAGTAATAGTCCCACACCTGCACTTTCCTCCCCTTCACGGTGACCCTATTTTTTTTTCAAAATAACAGGAAATCGTTAGTAAGCTATATGTCATAAAAAGGCTAAGCTGACAAAAAAAAAAAACAAAAAACAAGAGGGAGTAAAATGAAGCAGCTTCTGACCCTGGAGTTGAGACCTTTCTGTTTTTAGAACTGCTACCCATTAAATCATTACATAATGCATCTGGAGTTTGAGGAGACCTCCTAGAGTTCGGAAGCACAAGAACTGTAGGTTCTACTCCATCACATAACTACTTGGAAATGTTTGGGAAAACCATATATGTGGACTAGTATCTCCAGCTGGGCTTCCGCACTTGGATGATCCATACTTGGCATCAAGAAGTCAACATATCCAACATAAATGCCTCTTACCCCAAAGTCTGCACCCCCTGCTGGGCACCCATTTCAGGGCTCTACACCAATGACCCGACTGTCCCGTCCAAACATTTCCCCATCCAACATCAATACATTCTCTCTCTTCTAATTTCCATACTCCTATTTGATGTATCTCCTCCTCCCTGGACAATGATATTCCCAAGGTCAGTTATTTGTCTTTCTCAGGGGGATTCATGTCACAAACTCTTAAACTGCCCCCATTCTGCCTCCTCCAGCCAGTCCTGATAACTTCTTAATAAGTCATATATACTATGTTGTGTGATTTACAATTTTATCTAGAATTTTCTGTCTCCCCCCAAAAATCAGTCTAAAGAACTACAGATAATCTTTGTTGTGTTTCACCACCCACACACTCTCGGATTTCCTTCACCTGGGTTCCCACTTCAACCACTGTTTTGGTGAGATGGACCCCGGTGTAGTTAACAAAAATTGGCATATTTGTTTATCTGAGTACTGTGTCTCCCACTGGAATGTAAAGAGGAAAGACATTTTGTTTGTCTTGTTCATCACTACAACCTCTGGGTCCAGAAAGGTATATGGCACAGTGTCCTTATTTGTAAGTATTTGATATACAGATAAATGAGAAAAAGAAACCTGGGAGTCATCCGTAACTTTCTTCTCTCTCTTCTCCCCCTCTCTTCTTTTTTTTTTAATTTTTTTTTAATGTTTATTCATTTTTTGATAGAGAGAGACAGAGAGTGATTGGGGGAGGGGCAGAGAGAGAGGGAGAGACAGAATCCGAAGCAGGCTCCAGGCTCCGAGCTGTCAGCACGGAGCCCGATGCAGGGCTTGAACTCACGGACCGCGAGATCGTGACCTGGGCCAAAGCTGGACGCCCAACCGACTGAGCCACCCAGGCGCCCCTACCCTTGTCTTCTAACAACACCTACTCCGACAACAACAGGTGTGCTTCCATTCTAACTTTTGCTACTTGGTCCAGCCCTCATCTCCCAGTTCTCTCTGAAAACACCCGTATCTCTTCATCTTGTCCTCCCCTCTGCAGACAGCATGAGCCTTCTAAAGGGGCAGCGTCACCCTGCAAAATACTCCACCGGTTCTCCAGGAGTGATTTACAAGGATTGCCATGATGTTCCCACGTACATCTGCAGTCTCACCTCTAAAGACCCCTTAGTCTCTTTGTTCTGGGCCCTCACCATCGTAATTCATTCGTATTCAGTTAACAGTAAAACACATACCACACAGTGATGCTCAGCTCACAGGCTAGTGTTCGTTAAGGGGTCCTTATTTACATATTCCTAGAGTAGCCATTTCTGAGCCAAAAAATCTCTCAGCATTAGCATCAGCTAAACACAATTTGTCAAAAATTGATTTAGATGAATGATCTTCCATCAATGTCACTTCTCTCAACACAGCTATTGATAAAAAAAAAAAAAATTGAGGGGCGCCTGGGTGGCGCAGTCGGTTAAGCGTCCGACTTCAGCCAGGTCACGATCTCGCGGTCCGTGAGTTCGAGCCCCGCGTCGGGCTCTGGGCTGATGGCTCGGAGCCTGGAGCCTGTTTCTGATTCTGTGTCTCCCTCTCTCTCTGCCCCTCCCCCATTCATGCTCTGTCTCTCTCTGTCCCAAAAATAAATAAAAACGTGGAAAAAAAAATATTTAAAAAAAAAAAAATTGAGATCTCTAGCAAGAACTTGGACTAAGGGCAGTTTATGCTGTTGTCTGAGAACAAACAAAAACTCTACTCTGAAATCAGAGGATGTTAGTGAGCATGATATCATCTTAAGCACTCTATGGAATCTTAGAAAGATTCTGTTCTTGTTGTCTGCCTATCTCACACATGGCATGGCGAGGGCTGGCCCAAGTTGCGACAACAGCATTTTAAGAAATAAAAACCAGAAGGCTAGAAATCCAGACAGACTTGGGAATGTAGGTGAAGAAAGCTGCCTGTGTCCATGCTAAGCGAGGAGCCCTACAACTGGGGTAATTCAATTTTTTGAATTAATTTCTTAATAGTTCAGCCTCTATAACTCCTAAAATATATAATATTAATATGACATAAGTATGGAATTTCCTTAAGTAAAGTCAGCTTTTTCATTACATTGATTTCTATAATCTTCTGAAGAAACTACTTC